AAATTGCAAAATGACCACTGAAACCACCGAAAGTTGGCACGGGTAGCTTGTTCAAGCCTAAATAGAGTTGTATGAGCAAACAGTACCCGATTGGACTTCCCGTTACAAAATTAAAATCAAATCTGATAAATTCATATCGATTTTTTTCTTTCTTTTTTTTTTGTCAATCTAATATTGTTTTTTCTTTTTTCATGTGACAGATTGGCAATGGTGGAAAATAGTTTGGGCTGCATCAGAAGATTTGATTTTGTGTTTTTGGAAATATTTTGACATAGGATTTTGGTAAATGATTTATGGATTAAATGTTTAGCATCAAAATATTTGGTGTTGTGTTTTTGCAAATATTTTGATATAGGATTTTAGTAAATGACTTGTTGGTTAGATGTTTAACATTAAAATATTTGGTTGTAATTTTGAAAATATTTTGACGTAGGATTTGGTAATGTATTTATGGGTTTGATATTAGTAGTTTGTAAGTACTTTGGTATGCATGTTTTAGATTGTCAGAGAATTGTAATTATGTTTATTGGGATTTTTCATAGCTATTAATTTTGAATTAGTATGAATGTCTTGCACAGGTGCATTATTATTTATATTACATTTGTTTATATATTGTGCACAGGAAAATAGGTGTTTTGGATTATTTTGAACAGGAAAATTATTAAAATCAAAATTTGTGTAGTGAATTTTTAGTAACAGGTGGTGTTTTTGTCGTTGTTAATATATTTGGCGACAACATATTGTTTTTGTCGCTAAAAGTTAGTGGTTATTCCAGGAACATTTAGCAACCAAAACTTACTCGTCGCTAAAAACGTGATTTTTAGCGACCAAATTAATTTTGTTGTTAAATAGTAATTTTGGCGACACATTTATTTGTCGCTAAAACTACATAGCCTATCCAAATTTTAACCTTTTAGCAACAAATTGTAATTTTATAGCGACAAAATATATGATTTTTGGCGACCAATTTTGCTTGTCGCTAAATGTCTACATACGGTGACAATTTCTGATTTCGTCGCCAATACTTTTAGTGACAGGGCTTTGGCGACAAGTTGTATATTTTGTCGCCGATTCGTTTGGCGACGGAATTAGTACTTTTGGCGACGAAATTTGTGGGTCGCCAAATGTGTTTTTTGTTGTAGTGTCTACTGGGCTGTGGCTCACCCTATTTAGAAATAGCATTTCAGTTGTTGATGAGATGCCCCCACCAAGGCAAAAGCATTGGAGGGATCCTGGGGAAGCAAGAGTTTTCCGTTTTGTTTTATTTTTTTATATAGCCTAGTGCTAAATTTGTATGAGTTAGTCTCCTTTTATTGTAACCAAACCAAGACTTGAAAACGTGTAAGCCCGAAGGACATTTATTTATATTCAACTATTTTGTTTCCTTAACTTTTTGTAATGAAATGAATAATACTTTAATTTATATATATATGCTTTTGAGTTGTATTTACTGTATAATTTGGGGGCGTGACAAATCATCTTGATTTTTTTTACGTGGATATTCTTTTCAACGAGTAATAAAAAGTAAACAGTTTGAATCATCAAGATTAGGCTCACAATGGGCCCATAAAGTCCAAATACTATCTCAAGTTAAATTGTGAATATTAGAAAAGTCAAACTCTTTTCATAATAAAAAAGCATTAATTAGTAATTTAATCAAATTTTAAATAGCGTATTTATAATTTATTAAAAAAATAATAACGTTGCTAAGCTTGACTCGTGATTCAAATGATAAGCCACACAGAAACTATTCGAAATATATATTTTAGGTTTTATTTATGAGAGATTACAATTAAATACAAATTTAGAAGGAAAAAAAAACATACAACACAAGTAATAAATTTTATAAATATTAATAATTAAAATTAAATTTTTTTTTATGTATGTGTAAATTTTTTTTCAAACGATGACTTAATATTATTTCACTTTTATTAATTAGGACATTTAGTTTAGTGGTTGTGTAGCACCCTTCATGCTGTGAAATTTCGTATTTAACTCATATAAAGAGCAATTTGGTACCCTTTGTAATATTTGATTAATTTTTTCTTATAAACAATATGCAATTCGATCATATAGTTATTGATATCCGATTAATATGATTTTTAGTAGGTATGAAGTATTAAACAAATCCTAGAAAATGACAGTTTAGATTATAAAAATAAGGCTATAATACACTTCAAACGGAGGCACCACAGTCCCTGCTGTGCTCAAAGCACAGCAGGACCCTGTTCCCTATGGAAGTTGTATGTGGTTAATAGTGTAGTGGTTATTGGGCTTAACGTGGTGGATTGATTGTTAGACTTGAATGACTTTCTAACTATTATTAATTAATAATCTATTTAATAATATAAATATTTCTCATAATATAATTATTCTGATATCAATAATTTCATTTTTATTTGTAGCAAACGTATTTCAAATTCATTTGGTATTAATTGAAGAAGAAAAGTAGGATGAAGAATTGATGGGACGAAAAATTGACAGCGCGAGGTTGGAAACAGAGTCAACAGAAACAACTCCAAAGGAAGACAAAACAAAATTGGGGAATAAAGGAAAGCAAGAACGTGGCTCAAATATAGGGGCACATGCGGTGGCGCTGTGTATGGATACAGATTTATGGCCCTTAGGGAAGAAAGGAAAGCAAGAACGTATCTGTTGTATCTTTGCCCACTTGATATTCATGATATTAAATTTGTAAAATATAAAGTTTAATTTTAAATTTAAAATATATAACGTCACTACTAAAAAAAACACTTTTTGCGACCGCTATAAACCGTCGCAAATAATAAAAAACAGTCGCAAAAGACATTTTGCGACGGCCCATGCGACGGCAAATGGGGGTCGCGAATATAGGGGTGGCAAATATTTTTTGCGACGGCGAAACAACGGTCGCAAATTATTTGCGACTACCTAAACTACTTATGACGACCGCTATTTTGCCGTCGCAAAAAACAAAAGAAAAACACTAGCATGATCTTTGGCGACCATCTTGTTACCGTCGCAAAAAATTAAAAATTAAAATAAAAATAAATAAATAAATAAAAGTGTAGCGTTAAGCACTCTAAGAATAACAATGACAATAATTCAGACAGTATAGCATTATAGTTTTATTGAACATTCTATTTGAGTCTCAAAATTTGTGCTACATGTAAAAGTTATTACAACAAAAAATTTGGAAAAAGTTCTTTTATGAAAAAAAATACAATCCAGAACTGGCCAATATTCTCATCAATTTTCTTGCTCGGGTGTTTCTCCACTCTATCACTGAACTGGCATAACACCTTGTACCCATATTCATCAAAATCATTTCAGCAAACACTTCCACTAATGCTTTGGCAACCTATAATTTATGCCAACCAAAATGTCACAAGCAACAAAGATGAATTATTTCACTATAAAGGTGAGAGCAGAAGTCCTTCCAGATTCATGGGGTTAATTTTTGGAGTGCATGTGCATGTGTAAGCAAGCACACACATAATTATTCTATGTCACATGAACATAAGAAAGACTAGAAAATATAACCAAAATTCTGGTTATCAGAACAAAAACAAGTGAAACAAGAAGGATTGCGGGAACTATAATATGTATAATAGAACTACTAGTGTAATCTATTGCCAAATTAAAAAAACCAACCTTTATTGGGTTGATCCTCATTTCCCTCAGAAATTCCAAGTTATCAACCTGAAAGCTAAGGAACTTCCTGTCAATATAGCACATAAGAGTAGAATCTCAAATGCATACTATAACTAAAATTACATAAGCTAATGTGCAGCTGTCAAGGTATGTATATAGCTTCGCTAGAATCACTACTAAAAAAAGTACTTTTTGCAACAAACTATATAGCTTCGCTAGAATCACTACTAAAATTACATAATTATTCTTGTGATTTGTGTGAGAAGTTGATAGAGACAAGGGAGGACATGGTTGTCAATCATAAACTGAAACAAACTAAAAGAATTAATTTCTCATGTGGGGGAAAAGTATATAAAGTTTGTCAATGTCAAACAAATGAGAGAGAGAGAGAGAGAGTGAATTTCAATCTTTCTCAGCACTCTCATTCCTCTAAAATACAGTTTTACGTGCTAAATTTATTTTTTTAAAATGATCTTAGCATTCAGCTTTTCTAGTACAAGGAGCAAAGTAAAAATCTTACATTATTTTCACTTTGATAAAGAATGATTAACTAGAAGTTCAAATAAAAAAAACAGGGCTAGGTCATGTACATGTAAAGTATAAAACCAAATAGTAAAACCAAACTTTTCTATTCTAATCCAAGTCAGAAGCCTTCTCCTCATTCCTTTTTTGATTTATCAATATTTTTTTTTTGTTGATCAAAAAAAAAAAAAAGAATCAGAAGCCTTCTCTAGGAAGTCCTTTTCCATCCATCTTTTTTCACTACCAGAATGCCAAAACAAATCTACTACAATAAGTTGTAATATATTAACAAATATGGTAATTGTATTGATTACAAGAATATCATCTTCGATGTTGGTATTAGTACAGAAATGCAATGAATGAATATGAAGAATTGAAAATATTGCATCAAACTAATATTATGGTAAGAACTAAGGTCATGTTTGATTCCACAAGACTAATAGTGAGGTATTAATAATCCAATCAAATTAGTGTGGTATTCACAATCCCACCCATACCCCATTACTAATAATCCTACAAATTTGTTGAATTAATTATCCATTAGATTGATAATCCTAAAACAAAATGTCAAAACAAACATAGGATAATTGGGCCCACGAATTAATAATCCCAATCCCATGCTCTAATCCTTCTGATCAAACATGCCATAATAGTACAGCAGTAGAAATCATTAATACCTGAGTTTGGGCATCATCACCATTAACAATGTTTCCCACTGTCCTAAGTGTGAGTACAAGAACTGTAGGCGATGGATGATTTGTGAAAAACAAAATTTAGTTAGTTAGTTAGTACTACTTTTACAAATTTGACCACTATAAAGAGAATAACACACAATGAAATTTAGCCCAGAGAAAAAAAAAAATTCCACTAATTTGCAAAAAAGGAGAATTTTTTCTGAAGAACTAATTTTAGAAAACTAAAAGACATACCAAATTTAAAATCAATGTCATAATGAAGAAGTATGAAGCAAATAGGAACATACAGCAGAAGCTCCACAAGCTGTGGACAGACATCTGCCTCAAGCACAACTTGAATTTTGTCATTTCGACTAAAATGAGAATTTTCCTGAGAAACTTCAAATGAATCATAAGGTGGGGACCTGGTTCTTTTTGCGGCCTGAGCATCCACATTCTTGGTTGCAAAATTTTTTTTCTAGAGTCATAAGGTAAGACTGCAGGTTGCTCTTGGCGAGTCCATTAGTTGCTAAAATTGCCTGGCAACTTTGCCTGGTTACCCCATACAGGGGGAGATACGGCAGTTCTGTAAGACAAATCAACAGCATAATCCGATAAATTTGGGGAAAATTACACATATCTTAGGATAAACTATGCGCTACTAACTAGAGCATGTCCGAAATGAACAGAAAATTCTCTTAATAAAAAGCACATGACTTTAACCATTTAACCAACAACGGTAATATTCTTTACTACCATTTTACTACAATGAACAACCAATTTTGACAATTTTTTAGACAGGTATTTAGTAAGATACTATATGATTGACATGGGATAAGGCAAAGCAGGCCTGCTAAACCCAAAATGAGCCCATATCTACACCTGTTAAAAGGGCTTCGAACCCCATCCAATATGGATATTCAGAGCAGGTTACCTAATAGTCCCAATATATGCCCATCCTGATAGACGTTGTCAAGGTCCTGCATCCCAAACCTTAACCCCAGCCATGGGTCCTAATGCACGATATCCCGTGGGAGTCTGGTGCAGCACAAGACATGTTATAATTAAGAGATCTGCGGTTTCAACTATATACCAGATCATAATTTTGGACCTATTATTCATGATTTTATCCCAAATTTTCATCAAAAGCAACCAACATCTACAATAGCAATGTCATAGAACATGGTGCATAATAGACAAACTTTCAATGTTTTTATCCTCCAGATGCAGTGGAACTTGTTACTAGATTCTAACCTTCCACTTGCATTGCTTGAGTACGAGCAACATGCTTAAATTTTCCATAACATTAACAAATACACAGTAATGAGCACTTGCCTACACACACAGAAGGCACAACTTATGTTACAAATACCTCTGAGTTTCAACAAAAGGACCAAAATTGTCACAGAATGATGGTCTTTTGGGAAAAAAGGAAGTGGTCGTGGCCTCTGAGGTACAGGCTGCCTATGATCATTGAAGAGTGAATCTGAAGGCCTACCCAAATAAACAAAGCAAAAGTCGTTAGATACTCAAAATAAACTGCAACAGAAGACCATAAGTCTTAAAAATGCTATTTGTCATGTGGAACAAGTGATAGAACGATTAGAATAAAATTCATAGATGGGTGAAGGGAAATGCAGTCCGCACACAGATAATTCAGTAGAATGATTCACGATCCATGAAATAACAGAACACACCCAGTACGAAATAAAATAAAATAAAAAATAGGATGACTTTTAGGATGCAAGTACAGTAATTCTGAATAAATTATAGGAACCTGCCAGAATGTGTAGTAACCTCTCCACTTGTGGGCATATATAAAGAACTCTTTTTCGAGTCCACAATGCCAGAACTTATATAGAAACTTGAAGATCTTCATGTACACCATCACATCACATTTCTCAATGGCCTCCATTTTCCACCTCTGTTTCATAATTTAATTCATTTGTTAATTTTCGAGTATATAATAATAGCAATAAAGGAGAAGATCATGTCAGCAAGCATTCTTAGGGGAAGGGACCACAACCAAGCATGTAGAATAATTTAAAAGTACTGTATATATTTTAAAATTATGTGAAGATGTTATGCATGCGCATTGGTTCAGCAACTTCCTGCAAAGAATTTCTAGGCACAGAAGCTCAACCATTTAAACAATTCAAATAATACATATTTAGCATTGTAAGACGAAGGGAAAAAAAAAATTCCATCCAAACTAACAGAGAGTTTGTTTCACATGCATATTTTGAGAGTGGAGAAGGAAAAAAATTAGTCAAAGTTAAATTTCAATGTAAGAAGACGAAACAAACCTTGTTTTATCTTTTTATCTAATTTTCTTATTTAATAACACTTTAAATTAAATTAATTTAACTACCTTAATTTATTATTATAAAAATTAATCATCAAACTACTTTAATCTAGTTTTCAATTTTTAACTCAATTTTTTATTTAACAACATTTAAAATAAACATAAACATACATATATTAATTGGAACTGTGCTGTATCCTTCTTAGGCACAAGAGTCGCAATCAAGGACACAATATACTAATTGTGTCAGAGTATACTTAAGTATCCATTAAATTCAATAACAATTTTTTTTTGGTGGGTAAATTCAATCACAAACCTTATCAGTATCACTGCAAGAAACCAGAGATGATGAAACTGCAGATGTATGTTGCATAGCCCTCTCCACCATCTTCAGGTGAAATTTTGAGAAGGAATATGATGAAGGAATATTTTAGCCACACAAAGTGGCAAGAGATTTTATTTGCACAAGATATGGCCCAAACTTAGACTCAAAACAATGATATTTGTACATGAACAGATGCACAAGCAGCAAGCTAGTTTGAGCACGCACTTGAAACTCTGGCAATCGAGGAGTGCTTCTTTTTGGGAGTAACAATGACGGAGCTTCAGAGAATACATTAACTTTTAATTTAGGCCAACATTAACATTATCAAAAGAGAAAACAACAGTATAAATTACCTCCAAAGCAGAGCCATAAGCTATTATGACAAGATGAGCTTCCGGTTGTCAATGTTAATGGTTATTTCCTCCAAAATAGAAAAAAATAAAATTTATCATAACCAAATCTTTCGAAGGCTATCATAAATAATAATTTACCATTTGTATTGCTAATCAATGCTTGTTCATTCAAGCACTTAGTGCCAAACAATAACGTTAACAAAGATATATATATATATATATATATATATTGTAGGATACATCTCAGTTCTTACTTTCAGCATCTTCTTTGCCTTCTCAATGTCAAGATGAGGAGGATGACTTGCAACAAAAATAAATAAATAAATAAATAAAAAGCATTAAACAAATATAATTTCCAAAAACTACATCAAATAAAGTGAAATGATCAACGTAACATATATATAATAAGCAGACCTTGAACCTAAATGTTCAGATTATACAGAGGTTAGAATTAGAAATCGAAACTCGAGAGATTCATGTATCTAACTGAGATAATCAAATCATCAAACACAACAAGCAACGTAAATTATAGTTAAAATTCGAATCAAATTGTTTACCTGAACACAAGCTTGAGTCCCAGCTACGCGATCGCAGTCGCAACAGCGCTTATCGTATCTAGAGCGTTGTTGTTCGTGCTTCTCATCTCTCTATTTTTTTCTCTTTGCTAGATCAAACAATTATCCTAATTTCACTCAACAATTTTCTGTTTCATCGTCGCTCAAATCTTGTAGAGGCTACATCCTTCTCAAGAAAATTCAACTAAGAAAATTGAATTTCGAGACAGAAAATGAAATTGAAGATCAGACAAACAGAGCATGATGAAGAAAGTAAGAGACTGAGAGACAGAGATTCATACCACTGGAGCTGGGACAATGGCGAGCAAGAGAGCGAGAGAGACTGTTTGTGAATGTCGTGAGAGGGAAAGGGACTAGGGCATTGGCATATAAAATAAATAAAAGAAATTGGAATAACAAATTTAGCAAAGTTAAATAAAAGAAATAGGAATAATAAATTGAGCAAAGTAAAATGATGTAGTTTTGAACTATTTCCATTCATTTATTTTTTGCGTCCGCTTTTTTTTCGGTTGCAAATATTTTTTTTACGATGGTTAAATAGTCAGTCGCAAAAAATTAGACGCAAAAATTTAATTTTCTAGTAGTGTAGACTCGTAACCAGTTCTAATGACGCTGATTTGATAATTTTTGGATTTATACCCAAAGAGAACAACACTCCCGAATTTACTGTTTAAAACCAGTTTTTTGGACAGATTTGAACGCATCAGTTTATATGGATTTTGACTCTAAAAAATTATTAAAAAATTCAGATATACAATTCAATATGTAATTAATCTACTGTAAAGATTTCAGTTCAAAATTAATTCGTTTGATATGGTTTCTTGATTTTTTAAAGTTTGTGATTCTGTGCAGAATTTTTGGACTAAGATTTACACCCATTCTTTATACATGAATTTAACTCCTTAGATTTCTTAACAGTATACATATCTACAAAATACATAAACCCACAACCTCTCCATCAATGAACTAAATAATAATAGAGTAAGGATAAAGAACAAAAAGAAAAAGAAGAAGAAAGATAAAGACCTACCACATCCAAAAATTCTTCCTTGTTTGCAACCCTTCTTTTTCTTTTCTTTTTTTCCCTTCTTTTCTCTCAACCTCTCTCTCCCCGTGGCTGCTGTGGCTGCTGATATATATTGCGTTAGGCAACTTAGGGTTACTTTACATATCTAAACAAAAAGGCTCTAAATTATTATCTCTTTAAAGGGTGTCATGATTATTTAGCTTGTGTGGTGAGTATTGAACTGCCAGAATAGAAGTTAGAGGAGTTGTCTGTAGTGAGTGATTGTGTTGATGTTTTTCCAAAGGATCTACCTGGACTTCCTCTAGATCGTAAGGTAGAATTTTCCGTTAACTTGGTCCCCAACACAACACTTATTTCTAAAGTGCCCTATATAATGGCACCATTGGAGTTGGGGGAGTTACAAACTCAGTTATAGGAGTTGTTAGACAAATGTTTTATTAAGCCTAGTGTTTCACCTTGGGGAGTACATGTGTTGTTTGTGAAGAAGAATGATGGGTCTATGAGGTTGTGTATTGATTATAGAGAACCAAACAAAGTCATAGTGAAGAATATGTATCCTTTGCCACGTATTGATGACCTATTTGACCAATTGTAGGGAGTTCAAGTATTCTCTAAGATTGACTTGAGGTTAGGCTATCACTAGTTAAAAGTAAGGGATGAGGATGTTCCTAAGACTACTTTTAGAACCCGTTATGGGCATTATGAGTTTTTGGTGATGCCTTTTGGTCTCACAAATGTAACAGCCGCATTCATGGATTTGATGAACAGAGTATTTAAACCCCAACTGAATAAATTTGTGGTAGTGTTTATTGATGACATCCTAATTTAATCGAGTAAGGAGGAGCATGAGCAGCATTTGAGGGTAGTACTGCAGATCCTTAGAGAGAAGAGATTGTGTGCAAAATTTAAGAAGTGTGAATTCTGGCTGAGAAGTGTATCCTTTTTGGGTCATGTGGTGAGTAAAGATGGGGTATCTGTGGATAGCACGAAGGTGGAGGCAATTGTTGATCGCCACGACCTACTTCTGTGACAGAGGTACATAGCTTTTTAGGGCTTTGCTAGATATTACAGACAGTTTGTGGAAGGATTCTTCCATATTGCTTGCTACTTACCAATCTCACTAGGAAAGGGGTGAAGTTTGAGTGGAATGATGATTGTGAGCGTAGCTTCCAAGAGTTTAAATAGAGATTGACATCAGCTCCAATCCTTGCATTATCGGTAGATGGGGGTGGTTTTGTGATTTATAGTGATGCTTCACGATAGGGTTTAGGATGTGTGCTCATGCAGCATGGGAAGGTGATTGCTTATGCGTCATGACAGTTGAAAGTACATGAGAGAAATTATCCTACGCACGACTTGGAGTTAGCAGCAGTGATTTTTGCTTTTAAGATCTGGCGACATTATTTGTATGAGAGTCATGTGAGATTTACACTGATTATAAGAGTTTGAAGTATATTTTCACACAGAAGGAACTAAATTTGAGGCAAAGAAGATGGCTTGAGTTATTAAAGATTACGATGTGAATATTTTGTATTATCTGGGGAAGGCAAATGCGGTGGCAGATGCCTTGAGTAGGAAGGTTGCAGTTGGAGATGTAGTTGCTTTGTCTATTGAGAGTTGTTTGGTGGAAGACATTAGACGTTTGAGGCTTGAGGTTGTTATGCCTAGAGATAGGGCTTATTGTAGTCAATTGAAAGTTCAGCTGACCTTAAGAGAATGGATTCGTTTAGCTCAGGAGATTGACCCCCCAGTGTGAGCGTATTAAAGGAGAGATGGCAGAAGGTAAGCATGTAGAACTTGTGGTTAGTGATGATGGGTTGTTTAAATTTCGTAGCCGAATTTGTGTCCCTGCTGGTGGTGATTTGAGGAAGGAGATTATGACAGAGGCACATAGTTCTAGTTACAGCATTCATCCTGGAAAGCACTAAGATGTATTGGGATCCTTATGAACATTTTTGGTGGAATGGTATGAAGGGAGATATTGCAGAATTGTGGCTCAATGTTTGGTGTGTCAACAGGTTAAACTAGAACATCAGAAACTCGTAGGGAAACTACAACCCTTACCTATACCAGAGTGGAAGTGCGATCATGTTACCATGGACTTCGTGTGTGGATTACCTCGTACTAGTAGTAATCACGATGCAATTTGGGTAGTTGTGGACAGGTTAACGAAGTCAGGACATTTTATTGCAGTCCAAATGAACTATTTTCTAGCTCGATTTGCATAGTTGTATGTGAAGAAGATTGTTAGATTGCATGGTGCACCTGTGTCAATAGTGTCAGATCAGGACCCTGGTTTTGTATCTAAGTTTTCGGGTGCATTACAATCAGCTATGGGCACTTGGTTAAATTTTAGTTTAACTTATCACCCTTAGACCGATGGGCAATCGGAGAGGACTATTTAAACCCTTGAGGATATGTTGAGGGCTTGTGCTTTGGAGTAGAGAGGTAATTGGGATGATTATTTGCCGCTCATGGAGTTTGCATATAATAATAGTTATCATTCTAGTTTGGGAGTAGCTCCTTATGTGGCTTTGTATGGGAGGAAGTGTAAGTCTCCTTTGTGTTGGTATGAGGTTGGTGAGAGGAAAATGTTGGGACCTGATTTGGTGGAGGATGCTTATAGCGATCCCGATTTTACCTTCATTGTTTAATTGTAATATATGACAACTTTTCAAAGATTATGCATGATTATACTAGATTCATCTCATTAGTAAGATACATGTACATCAATTAGATGGTAACTAATCATTGATACCTATTTATACAATGTATAGAAGACTAATGCTAATACATTGAATGTGATGGATTTATTATGAATGAATCTTAGAAATGCATTATGTATCTATTATGAATATGTAAAATACATTAATCTATCTAATGAATTCATTAATATAGAAGATGCATTATGTATCATGAATGTATGAGATACATTAATCAATTTAATGAAGTTCATTGAATGAATAACTTGAGAGTTTCTCTCTCTAGACTACATCTTCTCTCTATAAATACATCTAGTTCTAGTGATCTTCTACCCTAGTTCCTTTGTATTGAGTGTGGAGCTTCCCTTGATCTTCATTTTAATATGAAAGTTTGGCGATTTGGAGCACTTTGGTTTTTGGCCTTCATCTTCTCCATTTGAGGTAGGGATTTCTTTGTTCTTTTTCAATACTCCGTCTATAGATAGACATGTGGTAATTTTGTATTGCATGAAAATCATATCCGTGTTGGATTTGTTTGAAAATCATGAGGGGAACCTAGGGTTGGTTGCTTGAGAATGGTTTTGTTATCATTGACTGTGGTTTGGACTAATTAGAGAATAAAATTAGCATGATATTATTGAAAGAAGCGAAAGCCCTAAATTATATTTTGATTTGGTAAAATAAAAAGGGTTTATGGTTGAACAAT